AGATGATTACAACTTCCCAGATCTTGCTCTTAAAGGAATGGGGTTTGCCTTTTGATTTTCTTTTCTACTGTTACTGGCTGGAGTTTGGACCTGCTATTAAGGTATCTTGGACTATATGGAGATATAGGAGGTTATAGTCTAAGGATAGTAGATAACAAGATGGAAGGAGCCTGGATTCCTGAGGGCTTTGTGGATAGGTCAAGTAAGATAGAGAATTATGTAGGAATAAAAAAGTTACTGAAATGTCTAGTTTTCTTTCCTTTCTTTTGGACTGAATGTTTGTGTCCCCCTAAAATCCATATGTTGAAGTCTAGTCACCAATGTGGTGGTGTTTGCGAGTGGGGCTTTTGGCAAGTGATTAGGTCATGAGCGTGGGGACCTCATGAGTGGGATTAGGGCTCTTAGAAGAGGAAGCCAGAGAGCTGACCAGCCCTGTCTTTCCACCATGTGAGGACACCAGGAGAGGTCCGGCTGTCTGCAGTCTGGAAGAGGACCCTCGCCAGAACCCACCCACTCTGCTCTCGGACTTCTAGCCTCCAGAACTGTGAGAAATACATTTTTATTGTTTAAGCCACTCACTCTATGGCAATTTGTTATATTAGCCCAAGCTAACTAAGACAAGGATGTCTGATCACCAGAATTATCCTACATATCAAGACATCTCTAGGCAAGGCAGTTCTAGAGTTAATTATGAGGATCAAAGACACTGAGGCTCTCCAAGTTTCAGTGGCTAACTTTTGTCCTTGTATTTTTCCCTTTGAGCTCAGAGATGGTTGTGACAGCTTCAAGCATCAAGACATCAACATTCGCAGAAAAAATAAGAGCAGGAATGTTATTTCTGAGAGCCCCTAGCAGACTTCCCATTATGTCCCTTGGTTAGAATTACGTTGACCAGTCACTAACACGGGCAATGACATTACTATGATTGGTTTTGACCAGTCGAGACTCACCCCTCCTTTGGGGCTGAGTCGGGGTACAGCCCCACATCACGCACTTGGTTATTAGGAGAGTGAGTAAGATTGGAGTTCTGTTGGGAAGGAGGAGGCAGTGAGTGGTTGTTGGGTAGACAGTAAGAGGGCCTGCTGCTTACCCACTCTGGCGGTATCTCCCATGTGGGATCAGTTGAGAGGCAGAGCAGGGAGGCAGACATTAATAATCAATAGAGTACATGAGCCATTTGCAAATAACCAAGGCCTTCTGGTATCTATACATGTGATTATTTAATGTTACAAAGATCCTTTGTGTCTTTTATCTCCCTAGATCCCCACAACAATCCTGTGAGATTGGCAGCACAGATATTAGGGTCCTCCGAAGCATCCAGCATCCAGAGGCTGAGATGCCAATGGCTGTATCCAGTGGGGAGGAAAACTGGGGCTGAGAGTGGTTAGTAACTTGCTGTTGATCCCAGAGCTGCTAAATGTTCAAGAAAAGGTTAGAACTCAGTTCTCTCTGACTCCATGCTATGCTATGCTGATTTCAAAAGTCAAGATTTTTTTTTGGGTGGAGGTCAAAGGGTATAGGAAGTAAAGGACAAACATCATTTATAATTGGGTTGGGAAGATGATACTGGTTGGGGCTGTGAACCATACCTGGAACTTTATATTCTTCCTCATGTAAGATAGGATTTTGGAATGTAAGTGCCAGAGAGTGATATTATTAGAAAAACAACTTGAATCTATGTTTTTTTCTTCTTTTTGCCTTTTGACTTCCTTCACCCATTTCTTCCACCCTCCATGCCCTGCCTCTGACAACCACTAATCTGTTCTCTGTATTTATGAGCTTTTTTTTTTTTCAAAGATTCCACATGTAAGAGACATCATACAGTATTTCTCTTTCTCTGACTGACTTCATTTAGCATAATGCCCTCAAGGTCCATCCATGTTGTTGCAAATGACAAGATCTCATTCTTTTTTGTGGCTAAATAATATTCCATTTCTGTTTGTATTTCTGTGTATGTGTGTGTGTGTATGTGTGTTTCTTTATCCATTCATCCATCAGTGGACACTTAGGTTGTTTCCATATCTTGGCTATTGTAAATAATACTGCAGTGAACATGGGGGTGCATGTATCTTTTCGAGTTAGTGCTTTGTTTTCTTGGATAAATACCTAAAAGTGGAATTGCTGGATATATCGTAGTTCTATTTTTAATTTTTTGAGGAACCTCCATACTGTTTTCAATTGTAGTTGCACCAATTTACATTCCCACCAACAGTGCCCAAGAGTTCCCTTTTCTTCACATCCTTGCCAAAACTTATTTCTTTATTTTTATAATAACCATTCTAACAGGTGTGAGGTGATATCTCATTGTGGTTTTGATGTGCATTTTCCTGATGATCAAGGATGTTGAGCATCTTTTCTTATACTTGTTGGCCATCTGTATTTCTTCTTTGGAAAAATTTCCATTCAGATGTTCTGCCCATTTTTGAATTGGATTGTTTATTTTTTGCTGTTGAGTTTGAATTCTTTATATGTTTTGTGTACTAGCCACTTATCAGATTTATGATTCACAAATATTTTCTCCCATTCAATTGGTTGCCTTTTCATTTTGTTGATGGTTTCCATTGCTGTGCAGGAGCTTTTTAGTTTGATGTAGTCCCGCTTATTTATTTTTGCTTTTGCTTTGGTGTCAGATTAAAAAAATCATCACCAAGACCTATGTCAAAGAGCTTACTATCTCTCTTTTCTTCTAGGAGTTTTAGGAGTTCACGTCTTATATTCAAGTGTAATCCATTTTGCGTTAACTTTTGTATATGGTGTAAGATAGTGGTCAAGTTTCATTCTTTTTTTTTTTTTCCCCCAGGAAGATTAGCCCTGAGCTAACATCTGCCAATCTTCCTCTTTTTTCTGAGGAAGACTGGCCCTGAGCTAATATCCATGCCCATCTTCCTCTACTTTATACGTGGGACGCCTGCCACAGCATGACTTGCCACGCAGTGCTATGTCTGCACCCGGGATCCAAACAGCAGAACCCCGGGCAGCTGAAGTGGAATGTGTGCACCTAACCACTGCACCACCGGGCTGGCCCCAAGTTTCATTCTTTTGCATTTGGCTGTCCAGTTTTCCTAACACCATTTATTGAAGAGACTGTCCTTTCCCCGTTGTATGTTCTTGGCTCCTTTGTCATAAATTAATTGACGGTACATGCATGGATTTATTTCTGGGCTGTCTATTTTGTTCCACTGATATATGTGTCTGTTTTTATGCCATTAACATGCTGTTTTAATTACTATAGCTTTGTAATATAGTTTGAAATCAGGCAGTATGATGCCTCCAGCTTTGTTGTTCTTTCTCAAGATTGCTTTGCCTATTCGGGGTCTTTTGTGGTTCCATACAAATTTTAGGATTATTCTGCTTCTATGAAAAATCTCATTGGAATTTTGATAGGGATTGCATGGAATCTGGAGATTGTCTTGGGTAGTATGGACATTTTAACAATATTGATTCTTCCAATCCTTGAGCATGTAATCTCTTTCCATTTATTTGTGTCTTCAATTTCTTTCATTAATGTCTTGTGGTTTTCAATATACAAGTCTGTCATCTCCTTCGTTAGATTTATTCCTAGGCATTTTATTCTTTTTTGATGCAATTGTAAATGGGATTTTTTTAAAATTTCTCTTTCTGGTAGTTTGTCATTAGTGCATAGAAATGCAACAGACTTTTGTGTATTGATTTTCTAACCTGCGACTTTACTACATTTGTTTTTTGGTGGGGTCTTTAGGGTTTTTGCATATTATATCAAGTCATCTCCAAATGGTGGCAGTTTTACTTCTTCCTTTCCATTTTGGATGCCTTTATTTCTTTTTCTTCACTAATTGCTGACTAGGACTTCTAATACTATGTTCAATAAAAGTGGGGAGAGTGAGCGTCTTTGTCTTGTTCATGTTCTTAGAGGAGAGGCTTGCAGCTTTACACTGTTGAGTATGATGTTAGCTCTGGGCTTCTCATATATGGCCTTTATTATATTGAGGTACGTCCCCTCTGTACCCACTTTGTTGGGTGTTTTTTTCATAAATAGATGTTGAATTTTGTCATGCTTTTTCTGCGTCTATTGAGATGATCATATGATTTTTATCCTTCTTTTTTTTTTTTTTTTTTTGAGGAAGATTAGCCCTGAACTAACTACTGCCAGTCCTCCTCTTTTTGCTGAGGAAGCCTGGCCCTGAGCTAACATTGTGCCCATCTTCCTCTACTTTATATGTGGGATGCCTACCACAGCATGGCGTGCCAAGCAGTGCCATGTCCGCACCCAGGATTGGAACCGGTGAACCCTGGGCCGCCGAGAAGCAGAACATGTGAACTTAACCGCCGCGCCACTGGGCCGGCCCCTATCCTTCATTTTGTTAATGTTGTGTGTCATGTTGATTGATTTGCAAATGTTGAACCATCATTGCATCCTTGGAGTAAATCCTACTTGATCATGGTATATGATCCTTTTAATGTATTGTTGAATTCCATTTGCTAATATTTTGTGGAGGATTTTTGCATGTGTGTTCATCGGGGATATTGGCCTATAATTTTCTTTTCTTGTGGCATCCTTGTCTGGTTTTAGTCTCAGGGTAATGCTAGCTTCATAAAATGAATTTGGAAGAGTTCCCTCCTCTTATATTTTTTGTAAGAGTTTGAGAAGGATTGGTATTAATTCTTGGAACGTTTGGTAGAATTCACCAGTGAACTCTTCTAGTCCTGGACTTTTCTTTGTTGGGAGGTTTTTGATTACTGAGACAATCTCCTTACTAGTAATTGGTCTGCTCAGATTTTCTGTTTCATCCTGATTCAGTCTTGGTAGGTTGAATGTTTCTAGAAATTTGTCCGTTTCTCATAGGTTGACTAATTTGTTGGTGTATAATTGCTCATAGTAGTCTCTTATGATCCTTTGTATTTCTGTGGGATCGTTTATAACAATATATTGCTGTCTTCAAAGTTTCTTTCAAAGGAATCATTTTTGACAGAATTCACTTATGTATCTGACTATGTGTGTCATATTTTTTCCTACATTTTAGCCTAAAGCACCAAAGGGAAAAAGTGTGGGACGGGAAAAAAAAGTCATCCATCCATACAGTAGAAAAGCAGCTCAAATTACAAGAGAGGCTCACAAACAAGAGAAAAAGGAAAAGTAAGTATCTTTTCATTATTTGTATTATGCATTGGTGTAAAGCCCATTTATACATTTATCCTTCATCAATATTCCCTTCCTTTTATTTTAACAAGTATTTGTTAAGTGTGTTCTATGCACTGAAGGTAAAATGATGAACAAGGATTCAGCTCTTAATAGAGGTTACCTAAAACAGATACATAAATTTAGATAGGTTGTGATGAGTACAATGAAGAAAAACTAAAAAAGTTTATGGGATGGAGAGTAAGGGAGAGGTTCTGTTTTACATAGGATGGTTATGGAAGACTTCTCTGAAGAAGCTACATTTGAGCAGACTGCTAAAAGATGTGAGGGAGTGAGCTATGCAGATATATATTGGGCATATAGGTTAAAGTGCCTATTAGACATATAAAAGGAGGTATAGAATGGACAGTTGGATATGTGGGGTCTAGTGTTCAGTGAGTAGCTTAGGGATGTAGGCACAAACTTGGGAGCCATCAGCATCTAGGTGGGATTGCAAACCATGAGACTGGGTAAGATCACCTGATGGTTAATTAAATAAGTGTAGATAGGAAAGAAAAGGAAGCTAAGAATTGAGTCCAGAGGCCCTCTCCCATTTAGAGGTTGGAAAAAGGAAGAGGACCCAACAAGTGAGAATGAGGAGGAGGAAAAAGTAGATTTCAAAGAGAAGGTAGTGGTCAGCCTATGTCATTTGCTGTTGATTAATACGAGGACTGAGAATTGGTTTAGTAATTTGATTTAATAATGTGAGTATCATTTAGTAATGTAGAAATCATAGGGGGGGTTTTATTGGAGTAATAAAAAGTGAATATAGCCGCAAGATTGCATTTTTGTATACTGTTTTAATTCCCTTGTTGGTCCTTTAACTATATATTTTTTATGAGTTATTTTTGTAGTAGTTGCTCTGGAAATTACAACTAACAACTGAAAACAATCTAGTTCTGATTAATGTCAATTTACTTTCAATATTATACAAAAAGTTTGCTCCACTGTAACTCCATTCCAACCTTCTCCTTTGTATGATTATTGTCATATAAATTGCATCTTTTTTTTTGATGAGGAATATTAGCCCTGAGCTAACATCCACTGCCAATCTCTTCCTCTTTTTTAATAAATAAATTAATTAATTTTTAATTAATTATTTTATTTTAATTTTGAGGAAAATTAGCCCTGAGCTAACATCTGCCACCAATCCTCTTTTTTGCTGAGGAAGACTGGCCCTGAGTTAACATCTGTGCCCATCTTCCTCTACTTAGTATGTGGGATGCCTCCCACAGCATGGCTTAACAAGTGGTGGGTAGGTCCGTACCTGGGATCTGAACCAGTGAACCCTGGGCCACTGAAGCAGAATATGTGAACTTAACCACTTCGCCACTAGGCTGACCCCCCAGTCTTCCTGTTTTTGCTGAGGAAGATTGGCGCTGAGCTAACATCCGTGCCCATCTTCCTCTACTTTATATGTGGGGTGCCTGCTGCAGCATGGCTTGATGAGTGGTGCATAGATCCGTCCCACATCTGAACCTGCGAACCCTGGGCCACCAGAGCGGAGTACGTGAACTTAACTCCTGGGCCACCAGGCAGGCCCCAAATTACATCTTTATTTATTACATCTTTATACATTATAAACCCATAAACACAGTTTCATAATTATTATTTTTATGCACTTGTTTTTTAAATTAGCAGAAGAAAAGTGTTACAAACAAAAATATATTTGTACTGTCTTTTATATTTACCTATGTAATTACCTTTTTACTGGTGACCCTTATTCCATCATGTGGATTCAGACTAGTGTGCTACATTTCATCCTGAAGGACTCCCTTTAATATTTCTTTTAGGGCAGGTCTGAAAGCGACAAATTCTCTCAGTTTTGTTTATTTGAGAATGTCTTAATTTCTCCTTCATTTTTGAAGGACCGTCTTGCTGGATATACAATTCTTGGTTCAGTCTTTTTGTGTTCAGCACTTTGAATATGTCATCCCTTAGCTGGCTTTCTGGCCTCTGAGGTTTCTCATAAGTCAACTGTTAATCTTATTGAGGATCCTTGGTGTGCTATGAGTCACTTTTCTCTTGGTGCTTTTAGGATATGCTCTTTGTCTTTCAGTAGTTTGACTAAAATATGTCTAGGAGTGGACTTTGTTTCTGTGTATGTGGCATTCTAGATTCCCAGGAATATGTTGGAGCTAGTTTTTCAAAGCCCTCTATGGACCTCCATTCCTGAGTTTTTCCTTTTGAATTTTTTGGTTTTGCTAGCCCCCAACTGGTAATATCCCTCAGGCAGCTGCTGTGTTAAAAAGTTGCAGGTGATTGTTTTCTAAAAACACCCTGGGGGTAGGGCCCACCGAGAGAGCCCTGAGTCAGATCAAATAGAGACAAACTAACTCCCAGAATGGAGCTTTTCAGTATGCTGCCTGTCTGGTCAAATGGTGACAGTTCTCTGGGGGTGGAGCTTTTGAGGAATTCCAAACATGATCTGTTCTAGTGGTTGCTAAGAGGATGGTTTCTATAACTACCATGAGTTGCTAGTCTGTTAGCTTTCAAGAGTAGTGCAGAGCTGGCGAGAGGGAAATGGGATTAGGGCAAATTAAAACATTGCAAAGCTTGCTACTTTTAGTGAGACTGAGCCATTTTTCTGGAGTGAATGCTCCTCGAATTGTTACAAGCCTTTGGTTAATTTCCATACTTCTGAAAAAGTTGATTTTGATAAGTTTTGTTAGTGTTCTCTTTGCTTTTATGGAGGAGTGGATTCATAGGTCCTTATTCTGCCATTCTGAAAGTTGGTCTGTATTCTTGATGTGAAGAATTTATAGGAGAATTTGAAATATGTGTATAATGTCTCTTCTTTTCCCCTCTTCCTGTCCCTTAGTTGTCCTTTTCTGATCAGCAGCCCACACTGTATAATTTGCCAGTTCTCCCCTCCATCTTTCACCTGGGGGAGTCCCCAAGAACTGCTGTAGTAACAAATAGAAAAATTCTTAAAATGAAGTTATGAAGACAATAAAAATCATCATTTTGACTATTTTAGGATAGCCTTACCATTTTAATAATGCTAAATAAATTTGCATACTAGCTGATAGAAACCATCACTTTCATTGTTATTTATTGATTCCTTGCCTAAAACCTAAAGCTATGTTTAGTAAAGGTTAACTGTTTCACAGTGATTTGGTTGGAAGTTTTCAAGAAGAGAATAGTCAAGTTCTATGATAGTGTAGTTAATTTTTTTTCTCTTTTTTTAAGGAAGGGTCTTTTTTTTTAAATAAATGGTATGATGATGACAGCAGTGTTGCTTTGAAACAAATTTTCAAACTTCAAATATTTATGTATCACTTTTGTGAATTTTGCTATGTTCTTTTTTGACATAACATACTACTTCTATGATTTTGCAACTTCTACTATCACCTATACTAGTATTTTACAAACTTTAGTGTATATCAGAGACACGTGTAGGGTGTGTTAAAACAGTTTTTTGGGCTCCACCCCTAGAATTTTCCATTCCGAAGGTCTAGGACAGGGCCAAGATTTTCCATTTCTAATAAGTTTCCATGTAATGTTGATGCTGTTGCTGCTGTTTCAAAGACTACACTATAAGAACCACTGACCCTTAGTATTATTTATTTAATATTCTTTTAAAATCTTTTCCCCTTAAATATAATTTTTTTAAAGGAGGCATTTTATCTCTGTTAAAACCAAGTAAATCCTGTTGCATGTTTTCAAAAGATGATGACAAGGCACTCAGATTGTTGGAACAACTGTAAGATGACAGAAAAGGTACCAGGAGGACTTAACTTGAACTTCAGGTGCCTGTGGCTTTTTGGAATAAATAATAATGTAAATAATAAGTAAAGTAGTTATCAGATACTGCTTTAGTTATCTATTGCTGTGTAAGAAATTATACCACAACTTAACAGCTTGAAACAGTTTCTTGGTCATGAATCCCGTTGCCACTTAACTGGGTGCTTCTAGCTCAGGGTCTCTCATAAGGCTACAATCAAGATGTGGGCTGGGGCTGTGTTCATTTCAGAGCTTGATAGGGAGAGGTTCTGCTTCCAAGCTTACTCATGGCTATTGGCAGACCTCAAGTCATGGCTGGCTGTTGGCTGCAGACATCAGTTCCTTGCCACGTGAGCTCCTCCATAGGGTTACTCAAAACATGGCGGCTTGGTTCCCCCAGAACAAGGGCTCTCAGAGCCAGAGGGAGTGACCAAGTTGGAAGACAGTCTTTGTAACCTAATTTTGGAATGACATTCATCACTATTGCACTGTTTTTTGTTAGGAGCCAGTTACTAGGTCTAGCCGTACTCAAAGAGTTCAAGGACGTGAATATCAGAGGCAAGAATCAGTGGGGATCATCTTAGATACTACCACCTTTTTGTAGTATCTGCCTATCAAAGAATACTTGGTTTTCTCAGGAACAAAAGTAGCCAGGTAGTTTGGAATATCCACTTTCCATACTTTTCACCAGAACCCAGGATTCTTTGTACCACCTCCGAAGGTTTCTTATTAGGCAGAAAGAGAGGTTGGGGGAAGATCAGGGAGGGTGTCTGTTAGGGTGTAGTGCCTTTAACCAATGCTAGAGGATACAAAACTAGACCTGCTGAGTTGATCAGGTTGACTCTTAGTGATGGACTGTGTTACTTAAAGATACTTCAGGAGTCAGTGATAGCGTAGAGTAAGAGTTCGAACATGTTCTTCATCTTCAGCATTTGAAAGTTCTGATTCAGGACTATGAGAAATATTGCTTCTTTTCAAATTAAAAGAAACTATTATGGTTTGAAGACTAGCACATTTCAAGTGGTGCACAATTCAGAGGCAGCAACTGGCTATTCTCTATCATGATTTTAGCTTTATTTTGTGATTTCTCAGCATAGTGGTATTTTGTTGCTATGTACCTGTCATGTCTTGTCCTGTTGGGTATGTAGCCAAGAACTCTGGATACCAAATGAAAATGACTTTGTATGGAAAATTAATGAAGAGAAACTAAGCATAATGAGTAAGAATGTAGGAAACAACTACTTTTGATAATTAATCTCAAATCTCTCTACTTTTTTTCATCCCGACTGAGAACCACTCTAGTTCAATCCCCGTTGAGTTCATTCAGAATTATTGCAACTTGACCTCTAACTACATTCTTCCTTCTAGGCTTATTTGAAAGGAATGAATTCCTCTCAGAGCCATTCTTTACCTTGCAATGAAGTGTTCTGTATTTTTTTAAATCAGCTTTGAGGTGTAAATAACATACAATAAAATGAATGTATTTTAAGTGTGCAGATTTGGGATTTTGCCAATACATCGGTATAACCACCATGATCGGTATATATACTGCAATTTCAATCTCTCAAATGATTCACTTGTGCATCTTCCCAATCAATCCTCATTCTCCGCCCCTAGCCTCAGGCCACCCCTGGTTTGCGTTCTATTTTGATAGGTGAGATTTGTCTTTCCTAATGCTTTATATAAATGTAATCATACTATATATAATTTTTTGTGCCAGCTTTTCACTTAGCATAACGTTTGTGAAATTCATCCATGTTATTTCATATATTAGTTGCTTTTCTCCTTTATTACTGAATGGTATTCCATTGTATGGATATGCAATGCAGTTTTTTTATCCATTCAGCTGTTGCTGGTCATTTAGATTGTTTACAGTTTTTTGGCTTTTTTCGAGGTCTGCAAACTAAGGACCCAGCCACCTGTTTTTATCAAAAAGTTACATTGTAAAGCAGCTATACCCATTTCTTTCATATTGTCTGGCTGCTTTCAGGCTATAATGGCAGAAGTGAGTAGTTGTGACAGAGACTGACCACATGGCCCACAAAGCCTAGCATGTTACTGTCTGTCCATTTAAGAAAAAATTTGCCAACCTCTGCTGTTATGAATAAAGCTGCCATGAACATTCACACACAATGTTTGTATGGACATGTGTTTTCATTTTTCTTCCAGTTTCTAGAACTGGAATTGCTGGGTCATATGCTAGATATATGTTTAAGTATATAAGAAATTGAGTTTATAAGAAATTAAGATTTTAAAAATTGCTGATCATATGGTAGGTGTAATGTTTGAGTATGTAAGAAATTGCCTTATTCAAAGTGATAGTACCATTTTGTATTTTCACCACCAGTATATAAGAGTTACATTTGCTCCATATCCTCTCAAACATGTTGTAGTGTAGGTTTTTTAAAAAAATGTTAGCCAACCTAAGAGATGTATGGTGTATCTCAGTGTGGTTTCAGTTTGCACATCTTGATGACTGACGATGTTAGCTATCTTTTTGTGTGCTTATTGGTTATATGTATGTCTTTAATTTGATGAAAAATCTGTTAAAATCTTCTGCCCTTTTTGGTATTGAATTGTTTTTTTATTAAGTAGTAAGAACTGTTTACATATTCTGAATGCTAGTTATTTGTGTTGTGAATATCTACTCCCATTCTATGGCTAAAAAGTTTTTATTAGAAAGTCTTCATTTTATTTCTCCAGTTTTCTAGTTGTTTAAAGCAAGAGGGTAATTCTGGTCTGCTTTGTTAGGGCTGGGCCAGTGGATTTTTTGTTCATTGCTGTATCCCCAGTAGCCAGCATAAAGTGTAGCAAAAACTAGCTACCCAAAGATCTCTTCTGAAAGAATTAGTATTGAGGATATCAACAATAGGAGTCATATTTTACCTGGACTGTTTTCTGAGAATAAATGAGTTCTTTTTCTCTGGTATAGTTGTTTCCAAGTTTATGAAAAGTGAACGTTGTTTTGTTCTTGTGGAAGGTTAAGAGGTGACGGTAATGCGTTTTGGTCTTGGTGGCAGCACTCAGTCTTCTAGCAGGTATTCATTACTCTTTTATACACATGTATTCTGCATATTGCAAAACCGCCTGAATATTCATAACCCAATCAAGCTTTCACTGGTGTTTTCAAAACTGGTTTGTTGGGGCTGGCCCTGTGTCTGAGTGGTTAAGTTTGTATGCTCCGTTTCGGAGGCCCAGGGTTTCACTGGTTTGAATCCTGGGCACGGACATGACACCGCTCATCAGGTCATGTTGTGGTGGTGTCCCACACAGCACAACCGGAGGCACTCACAACTAGAGTATACAACTATGCACCAGAGGGCTTTAGGGAGAAGAAAAAAAAGAAAAAAAAAGATTGGCACCAGCTGTTAGTGCAGGTGCCAATCTTAAAAAAAAAGAAAAACTATTTGTTCTATAGGTGTCCTTTAGTCATTGAAGAGCTAAAAAAAAGTTTCTGACAACATTTTGTTCTAGTGATTTAAGAGAGAAGCATGGTGTTCAATGTTTCTCTGTTAACAAAATTAATTTCATGTGCATAAAAGAATATCCTTGAATGAAGGTTCTTTGGGCAACTTTTCTTCCTATTATTTTTGACAGATTTTTAAAACTTGCTTTGGAAATTTTCTAACACGTTATGCACCTTTTCCTCTAAGGCTGAAGAATGAAAAGGCGTTACGTCTCAACCTTGTCGGTAAGTAGATTTACTTATTTGAGATTCTGGGTACAGTACGGTGAAGTTTTGCGCTATACCTGTTTTTCTTTTGACTCTCCTAGTGAAATACTATTTTTATCTACATGAATTTTCTTTACCAGATTTGATTAAAACAAAACAAAATAAAATCAGTCATTAAACTCTTAGAGCAAATAGTGTTAATATCTAGCTCAGTTTTCCAGAAACTGTGTAGTTTATATTTATCTACCTACCTACCCGTCTACCTCTATCTGTCTATCACCTATCTGTCTACTCTGTCTACTTACCTACCTATATCTGAAGTTTAATTCTAGCTCCCTAACAATTAGAATTATGAAGGATTATGGTCTAAGTATTTTGGAAACGGCAATTCGTATTTAATGATGTGGATACATACATCCTCAGTCTGTATCTCAGTGTCACAATCTTTTTTTGGGAGGTGTCAAATTACTGTTAGCAAAAGTTTTATTGATAAGCCGGAGATTTCAAAATAGTGACTATTAGACTTTATTACTAAAATTAAAGGTATTTGAGCCCTGATCTTTAATGCTTCATCAGGTAATAGAATAATATTTCTAAATGGGTTATCAATATCTCGAGTAGGGCCATTTTTTGATCCGTAATATTGAGAAATCTAACTGAAAGTGACTTTGATGGTCAGATTATTCATGTCTTAGCTCTTTGGTAATAAATCTCGGTCACTCTTTGCACGGTATCTGGCAGATCTTGTCTGCTTAATGTATTTATTAATTTTGAGGCCCTGGGCAGGTTGCTTAACCTTTCTCATCTGTACATGGGGATAATAACAGTACTAATCCTCAGGATTGTAAAGCTCTTGACATCATGCCTGCTGCTTATTAAATGTTCAGCAAATACCATTTTCATCATTAATCTAATTAAATTTTCATTTTATTTTAGACAAGTTTTATCTCTTGCTTTTTAACTACTTAGAACTTCATGTTGTGTTAAAGTGTTCTTTTTAAAAAAAAAAATTTTGCCTTCTTATTGGGTAAGAAAATACATACAGAAAAGCATTTCTTTCACCCCTGTCTCTTTCCCAAGTTAAAATGTGACAATTTAGTTTCTGACAGACTGGTTTAATTAGCTTTGACCCCACACAAGGTTTTATATTTAACATTGAAATAAATTTTGATACTGTTAAACACATTGATGTTGAAAATTATAATGAATACCTCTTGCTTAAATGATGACTTGTGGTGTTAAACTATCTTGGTACTTGTTGTTACAGGTGAAAAACTGCAGTGGTTTCAAAATCATCTTGATCCCAAAAAAGTGGGATATTCAAAGAAAGATGCTTGTGAATTAATCGAAAGGTAAACACTGGGCATGTTAGGAACAAAGGGTCAGAAAAAGGAATTCTCCAGTCTGATTCTTCAAGAGACAGAGTTCTGTTCTGGATTTGTAGAAGAGCAAATGGGCTTTGTTATCAAAAAGGCTTTGGATTCCTATCGTAGCCTGGCCGCTGTAGTAGGTTTGTAACCTTTCTGGGCCTCAGAGTCGTACTTAAGCCAGTTTCTGGTGATCAGGAAAGGTTTCCTGGAGAGATATCCTCAAACTGATGCCTGAAGGATAGGGGTTAGCAGATTGAGGTAGGGTGGTTGGAAGAGCCTCTAGGCAGACAGAACAATATCTAAAAGGCCCAGAGGTGAGAGTGACACGTTTAGTGATGTGCCAGACATTTAATATGACCAAAAGAACAGGGAGGGAATTGTGACAGGTACGATAGGTGACAACCAGCTCATGAAAGACCTCAGGTATCACCGTAAGAGTTTGGACTTCATCAGAGGACATTGGGAACCACAGGAGGCCTTTACAGCAGGCGCTCGAGATGAGCACAGCTAAACGTTGGAAAGGTGACAGAGTGAGAATGAGGATAATGGCCTGAGGGGGCATGGCTTTGGCCAGGAGACTGTTGAGAGGCTGGTGAAGCACTCTAGGCAAGAGATGACGGTGACCTCTGCTTGGTTAGTAGCCGTGTGGTGAAGAAAATGAAGGATTACAGAGTTGTTAAGAAGGTAGAAGTTTCAATCTTTAGTGAAAGCTTAGATGTGGCATAAAAGGGTCAGAGAGGAGTCAAGGAGGACACCTGCATTCCTCTCTTGGGCAACTAGATGAATGATTGTACTGTTTCCTGAGACAGGGGAGCCAAAGAGATGGAGCAGGTTTGCTGGGGGTTGGATGGGGGCAGGCGTGAAGACAAGTTCAGTGTTGATGTGTTAAGCCTCTGCAGGACATCCAAACGGAGACATCCAGGGGATGGTGGAATGTGAGGACCTGGAGTTGAACAGATACTTTAATAGCAGGCAGTGATTTGGTCCCTGAAATTTTGGACAAGGGTGAATTATCCAGGGAAAGTCTGAGGTCTGAGGACTTGAGGAGCTTAGAGGAATGTAAGAATTTAAAGGACAAGCAAAGGCTGGGGATTATGTTTAAAATGAAGTACTAGAAGCCAAACATATAGACTTTGTTACTCCACTCATTGTCTTATTTTTCAGGTATTTAAATCGATTCAGCAGTGAGCTGGAGCAGATAGAATTACATAACAGCATCAAAGACAGGCAGGGGAGGCGGCACTGTTCCCGGGAGACAGTCATCAAGCAGACGATGGAGCGGGAGCGACAGCAGTATGAGGGATATGGCCTCGGTGTGTTCACTGTGATTTTCCTTTTTTCCTTCTAAAATACATAGCGATATCAGATTTGTAATTCATTTCAGTCGTTTAATTTTATTTATTCTATTCAGTTTAGTGTGATATTCTGTCTTTGATTTCTTTTGTGAGTGTATGAAATAATTTTTTAATTCATTCTCTTTTCCCCCTGCATTCCCGAACTTATCAATTGTGAGAGTGACATCATATCTTTCTGCTGTGACGCTAAAGTTATTCTCTCCCTCTGGCACATACCTGATTTGCTTTGTTATAGAGTTATTACCTGCCCATCTCCAACTAGGTGCTGTGTCCTCATCTTTGTAATTCTTGTAGTACCTACTTGTTGCAGTCATTCTTGAGAAACTATAAAAATTCAATACTCATTCTTAGATTTGTGGCATTTCTTACCATTCCTAAAGACAAGTATGTTATTAGTTTACCCACACCATCTGAAGAAAAGCACTTAGTAGGAGCAGGTACTTAAGGCTTGCAAAGCCCACAAACAGGTGACAACCCAAAAGCTACATATGGCCTACATGTAGTATTTGATTGGCTTATTAATTGTCATTATAAAAAATATCATTTCACATGAAAAATGTAGATTTCTGGCTTCTCTTAAAAAATCAGATGGTCTGGCAACATAATCTGCTAGAGTGGAGTAGCAGCTGTCCTGTTTGGACTTGCCCATATATTCTCAAGCTTGCCATAGTCCTGAACATTCCTTCATTCACATTCCCTGCCTGCTCCCTGTAGGCATTTCTATGATGTGGATTTGTTTGGAAAGTATAATAAATGAAATATTTAATAACAAAATTAAATTTTTAAATTTTAATAATAACAGTAAAGTATAAGACTCTAAAGGAAATAGCCTGTGGGTAACTGTTGTGTCGGTCTCAGCCTGTTGATGGTGATGCTGTCTGCTAGAAACGCCTGAGGCACTTGTCCAAGTCTGTACTACTTGTGGCGAGCCCCCACAGCCATTTCCTCAGTGGGAGCCACTGTTGTGGCTGGACCGGTCCTTGTCATTCTCTTTATTTTTACAGGACACACCTCGGTAACGACCAACAGGGAACTTTGGAAAAAGCAAGATTTATTACTCATAAGTCCTGGAGGGTACACAGCACACCAGAGGGCCACACAGCGAGGTCTTGGGTAGAGAAAGAGGGAGGGAGCACATACTGGGGGTCTGCCTTTATTACGGTCTAAGGATAGTGTGCCTAGGGTTTCGGGGGTTCACTCTTTATTGGCAAATTTAAAACATGAGAGTAGGAATTAGGGCTTGAGAAGGGAAGAGGGTCACTCAGGTGGTCAGTTATCTAGGTTACCTAGGGCTTTCTAAAAGGGGAACTTTAGGAGTGGGGGTGGCCTCATTCCTTACCTAGTCGTTTTCCTAGTAGCTATGTGATACAGCTGGAAATATGTTTATTTGAGATGGACGTCTTAAATGGATGTCTCAGCAATCAGAAGTTCAGAGTCAGGCACTTATATTACAATCAAAAAGCTTAATGTCAGGCACTTACACTATAGTAACCCTAGAAACCCTGAAGTAGATGGCAGTTCCTTTTCATCATTCCTAAGAAGTGAGTTTCTTAACTGAGAAAACAGAGGATAGCTTTAGACCTAGATAAATCTGGGCTTAAACCCTTAGAGTTTACTGTATAACAGGGTAAGTTACTTAACCCCCCAAGGCCTTGTTTTCATTAGCTTAAAAATTGAGATAAATAGGGGCTGGCCTGGTGGCATAGTGGTTAAATTCCCACACTCTGCTTCGGTGGCTCGGGGTTCACAGGTTCAGATCCTGGGTGTAGACCTGCACACTGCTCATCAAGCCATGCTGTGGTGATGTCCCACATACAAAATAGAGGAAGATTGGCACAGATGTTAGCTCAGCAGCAATCTTCCTCAGCAAAAAGAGGAAGCTTGGCAACAGACGTTAGCCCAGAGCCAATCTTCCTCACCAAAAAAAATAAATAAATAAAAATTGAGATATATAGCATATACCTCCTTCCCCCCAGGTCGTTTAAAAGTTAAATGAGATTTAATTTATCAAAGTGCCTGACATAGCACCTAATGCAGGAGGTTGAGGGAGTGATTCAGTCAGTCCCACGTCCTTTTCACCTAAGTAGTTACCTTCTAAGAGTGTAAAATTTGTCTGTACTAGTCTCTCTTTTCTCATTTTCCATTTTTTTAGGAACCCACTTTAATTAGGCTTTTGTCCCCACCACTCAACTAGAAGTACTCATCCTTGATGACCTTAAGTTGCTGAGACAAGTAGTTGCTATAATGGGCATTGATCACTTCATTTTCTTGTCACATTTTTTATTTGGTATAGAAGACCCCGACCTGTCCTACTTTTCTTCCTAGTTCACTGCCTATGACTTTTCAGTTTCCTAAGTTGAATCTTCCTTGTCTTCACAAACTAAATGTTGGCCCAGATCCCTCGCCTTGAGCCTCTTCTCTTTTCTTTTTACACCAATTCCTAAGTTGATTTCATTCAGTCCCTGTGGTTTTAAATACCATTTAAAGGCTGATAACTTCCAAATTTATATTGTCAACACTGACTTGTCTCTAGACCTCCACACTTGCATTGCCAAACTTGGGTTTCTCAAAATCTCTATTTGACTGTCTTATAGGCATCTCAAACTTGACATGTCCCAAAGCAAAGTCCAGCCTGCCTCCTAAAACTTGCTCCTCCTGCAAGATCTGTATTTCAGTCAGTGGCATCACCACTTGCCCAGTTGCTCAGGTCAGAAATCCTGCAGTCGCTTTCGCATTCCACATCCAACTCATCAGCAAAATATGTTTAGGATCTGATGACTTTGACTGCTACTACCACCGTCTCCTTAATTCCAGCCACTGTCATCTCACCTGTACCATTGTAACAGCCTCCAGTTGATCTCCATACTTCTGCTCTTTCCTCCTAAGGTCTATTCCACATGTAGCTGCCACATTAACTAACAGTAATTAACAGAGCACATCCAAGGTAAAACATTTATTGGTGATAGAGCCAGTACTAAAACTCAAATCTGGTGTTCTGCCAACTCTGCCACAGTGCTCCTTCCGCAGTCAGGGAATGTGGTGAAAGAAGGTTTGTGATCTCTAACAAGTTCAGAAGTGTGTAGAAATGTAGGCACATTGTTTGTCACCAAAATTCTATTTAGATAAGGTTCAGAAAAGACTAGATATTAACACCTCCTCCTCCTTGCCACATGGTGGTATAACTATTTCTGACCCATTTGATTAGGATTTCTTTTAAAAAAAAAACTTGTGCTTAATTTACACCCTTTAATCACCTGGCCAAACATTCTCTTATGTTCTGAAACTGTTGTAAAACAATGATGTCAAACATTTTTATTTTCTCTTTTTTATTAATTGATACTGGGTTTTAATTAATATTTTATTGCGTTGCCAGAATTTTTGCCACAGTGTTCCCATTTTTGTTACACATGCCTCTGTGTTCCTGCAATAAGTATGACTATGCATATTGAATTTTGATAAACTTTCTGATCATGGTAAGGAACTGTCGTATACCTAGTTTTTATTAAAAATGGGCCTAAAGTTTTTTAGCTTTTTTAAGCATCTATTGATTATAGTTTGTCTTTACATTTTTTTCACATTTTAAATAGTGTGATTTTTTAATACTAAATAATGTTTGCGTTCCTCAGATGAACTCTCCTTTGCCAAAGTGAAGTATATTCTTGAAAAAAGTGTACTTTTCACCAAGAAAATATGTAAAACAACCTAGCATGTTGTTTTAAGGGAATTGATAGTTAGAATTTGCCAGGTATCTTTTATGGTTTAAAAGGACAGGGTTTATTTTGTTAATAGGTTTGTTTTATTTTACAGATTCTGTGCTAGAATTTATTATTTAATAGCGTTCTTAAATCACCTTCTTTTGAACTGAAAAATGAAGAGCAAGCTAAGTTGAAAGTTAGCAGAATATGTATCTCTCTATTTTTTTTTTTTGAGGAAGATTAGCCCTGAGCTAACATCTGCTGCCAATCCTCCTCTTTTTGCTGAGGAAGACTGGCCTTGAGTTAACATCTGTGCCCATCTTCCTCTTCTTTATATGTGGGACGCCTGCCACAGCATGGCTTGATAAGCAGTGAATAGGTCCGCACCCAGGATCTGAACTAGTGAAGCCTGGGCCACCTAAGCAGAACATGCAACCTTAACCACTGCACCACTGGGCCGGCCCCCTAAATCACCTTAAACTAAGCGCTTTATACTTGCAAAACTTAACTTTTCATACAGCATTATAACAATGCTTTGAAATTTTGTCTTGCTTTGAATGTTCTTGCTGTCTGTCAATTATTATTTGTTGTATCTGAGATAATAAAAGAGGAACTATGAAATGTTGTAATTTAGAAAACATTGCCTAAAAGATATAAATTATTTTCTTTCCCAGAGATTCCAGACATTGTAGATATGGGTAATCTGAAAACTTTTAGGTGAGTCTGTCCTTTTTATTGTTCTTTGAAGCTGTGTGTGAAATACAGGAGACATAAACTTTCTTCCTTTTGAGTCTAGATATTAGAGCCAAAACCAAATTAGGGGTTTCTTTTGGACTTTTCTCTTTCATCAGTGGAGGAATTTTCCCAAGTTGTGTTTATTTGAACATCTTATATACACTGAAATGATAGTGATATGGTGCTTTTATTTGTTTTTCAGAGTATTTTAAAATACTTTAATGTAGTACTTAAAAGAACTTGATCTCACTGTTTCTCCCTGGTCTTATTTATTTATTTTTTTATAAATATATATATATATTTTTTAAAGATTTTATTTTTCCTTTTTCTCCCCAAAGCCCCCCGGTGCATAGTTGTATATTCTTCGTTGTGGGTCCTTCTAGTTGTGGCATGTGGGATGCTGCCTCAGAGTGGTATGATGAGCGGTGCCATGTCCGTGCCCAGGATTCGAACCAACGAAACACTGGGCCGCCTGCAGCAGAGTGCATGAACTTAACCACTCGGCCACGGGGCCAGCACCCCCAGGTCTTATTTTTTATAAAGGTAAAATAACGGCAGCAGACTTGATGGTTCAGAGTCCCATCCCCAGGCTGTTCGCAGCACCCTTTTCTGGAGAAGATGCTTAATGGGAAGTGATACCAGGGAAAGGGCTAAGTCATCAAGAGCCAGTTGGTCCAGTGATCTCTCTACTGTACACTTTTGTGACCAGAGAGACTGCTGGGTAGGATTTCAATTTTTTAGTTTTCAAACATGGATTATCTTTTTTTTTTTTTTTTTTTTGCTTTTTCTCCCCAAATCCCCCCAGTACATAGTTGTATATTTTTTAGTTGTGGGTCCTTCTAGTTGTGGCATGTAGGACACCGTTGCAGCATGGTATGATGAGCGGTGCCATGTCTGCGCCCAGGATCCAAACTGGCAAAACCCTGGGACGCTGAAGCAGAGCATGTGAACTTAACCACTCAGCCACGGGGCTGGCCCAAACATGGGTTATCTTTAAAAAATGGTTTTTATTAATCATTTTAGTCTTAATTAGACTATGTTGATGGGTCTGAAATTTTATGTTAATTGAAATTAGATAAATTTAACTCCATTCATATTCTTTGAAACCTTTAAGCTTATTTTGTGCTTATACTTAGGAATTCATAGAAAAATATTTAATATTTAATCATAAAGGATTAGCTCTAATAGAATTCATTAATCATATATAAGATTTAGTTCATTTTGTGGCTCATGTACATGTATTTATAATGTAATTACATGGAATATAATATTCTTTTTATACCTTAATTTTTTTTTGCCTGTAATATTAATTAATCAGGTACATAAGCGTGCTCCTTATTTCTAAAACAATGTTTGTTCTGCCTGCCCCCAAAAAAGCCAGAAATGAGTGAAGAAATTAGCAGAAACTGTTAGTGTTGCTGGTTAGAGTTCTATCTTCAAACCAGTCTTCACACTGCTTCTAAAGTAAATGAACATAGGATTGTCACAGAAAAGGCTGAGGTTGAAAAAGTAAGTTTTCTATTATAAGCCTAAAAATTGTTTGATTACTGAAACTTAACTGTGGCTTCCACTGTGTGTGGAAAGAAAAGCTTATTCTGACTATGCATTTTTCAGATTTGCCAGGTCTGATTTAGTTCCTGCTTCTGAGATTCTTGATACCATATGGCCTGATAGAGAAGGTTCAGGTTAGGGAGAATGAAAGATTGCAACAGAGTCGCCTTCTGACTTCTGCCTAGTATTCCCTATATTGCTTGGGAAGTTTTGAATATGTCGGATTCTCTCTGTAGTTACTGCTGTTGTACCTTAGTGAGAAAATGCAGTAAGTATGGGAAAAGCAAGCCTCGGTTCTTGGGATTTTTTTTTTCTGATGCATTTATATTGTTTCTTTCTAGTGCATATGAATCTGCTATAAATTTATAAACTTTCTTCTGCTGCTTTCAGTTTTGAATGTTGACTTTCTCCTGCTTCCCCACCTCACCCTCTGCCAAACCTCTCTCTCTTTCTTTTGTCTAGGGAATGGGATTTTGATCTGAAGAAATTGCCAAACATTAAAATGAGAAAAATTTGTGCTAATGATGCACTTCCAAAGAAGTGCAAGAAGAAAACTATTACAGCCATAGACAAAGATTTAGGGGAATTGGAACTAAAAAATGACTCTGACTCAAATGACTCGGATGAGGAAATGACAGCAGTGGCATAATTGTCCTCTGCTTGACTTGAAAATAATGTGAAAAGGCTTCCAGTTACACCTGAATTGATTATGGTAAATAATTATCTGGCTGTAAGAATTTGTTATTTAACTTCTCTTACTTGATGAGAACCCCTTTTGCAGTTTCAAAAACAGTGTTATGATTTTATTTAAAAATGAATGTTGCTTTTCATTTACATTAAGTTGCTAAAATAGATATAGTGAAATAAAATATCTTTAAAATCCATTTAATCTGAATTTCCGGGGTGGAGGGAGCAATATGAATGAGGACAAAAAATGTCTTAATTTTTGCCCTCCTGTTTACTCAGGATCACCTGATCTCACTTGGGGGCAGGAACGGCAGCCAGCTTTCTAAGAGGGCCGGCCCTGTGGATACTTCTTGAGCAGTCGCGATAGCAGAGTTGTCTTTCAGTAATAATATTTTAGTAATCTTCCTCTTAAACATTAAACGTCTGTCCTTTCCTTATAAAATAGAGAAAATGTGATATGGAATGCATATACACTGTTGGATTGTACATTATTTTTATCTTTGAGCCGCAGATAAATGGTAAGAAAAATAAACAGTGACTTATGTTGCTCTCCCACACTTAATCTTGATCTTTTGATAGGGATAAATGATTTCAGGTTAGCTCTTTTTGTTTGCATCTTCTGCTTTCTCATTGTGCAAAGTGATAGGTTTTACTTGTGGAAACAGAGCTAAAGATTAATGAACCAGTTATTTCAACTGTGCTACTTTTTCTTCTAAGAGAGAAGTTAAATGACATATGACTCAGTATTTCAAGTATCGTGAAAAACACGGATGTGGTAGAATGTTGTTCTTCACAGAACTTGTTAAATGCAAGTATCTTTTAGTCTGTTTTCTAAAGGATGTCATTGCAAGTGTATTTGAGTATTTTCAAGAAAAGAAAAATAAAACGTTAATGCTGTGTAAGGGTAACTAGATATCTACTAAGTCTTGTTAACAATTTATTTTAAAGTCTTACAGGTTTTTACTTCTGAAAATTAAAATAAAATTTATTTCCATAATTTCACTTCTTATGGTTCTAATTCATTTTCAGTGATGCAACTGATGCTGATTTGCTTTTGCTTTAGTCATCTGTGCAAAAGTATGGTTTTTATGGTACCTAATAAGTTTCTTTCTCTTTAGTCATTGGAAAATTTCCTTCTTTTTTTTTTTTTGGTTCCTATTTAGTCTCAAAATGGCTATAAAAACTGAGTCATAAATTACAGTAAAGAGAATAAAAACTGGTTTATCTGGTCTGATATTTAAAAAGCCATACTGTTAGATGCGTAACTTGTGAAAATGGCAGATCTCCTCCCCCTCAAACATTTGTCCCTCGTTTTTCCCCCATGCTATCAAAGCATAAAATATAACAAGCCAAGTGCTTGGAACTAAAACAGATAAATTTTACTTTACCATTTAGGACCATAATTGTCCTGTCACTCCTGGCTGGACCACAGTAGCCTAAGAGAGAGTTTGTCTTTAGAGTAAGGCTTTTAAATGACATCTTTAATCACTGTCTGTAGAACGTGTTCTTCTTGCGGTGATAACTTGTGCTCCCTTAGCCAGAGCTCTTTCGGTCAGCAGTATATCTTTGTAAGATAACTTCTGCGGGCCGTGGCCATGGAACAGAGTAAAAGTAACTCACTTTCTTGGTACTTCTTCTCTGTAAACTAGGGACTGGCAAACTTTTTTTGTAAAGAGCCATAGCAAATATTTTAGCTGTTGCAGGCCAAATGCTGTTTCTTGTGCATTTTCGTGTGTGTGTGTGTGTGTGTGTGTGGTATTAACCACCCTTTAAAAATGTAAAAACCATTCTAAGTTCATGGCCATACGCAAATAGGCCACAGGCCGGATCTGGCCTGCTTGCCATAGTTTGCCAATCCCTGGTCTGAATCAGTGAGGTGAACTTCATGGACATAGGCTAGTGATATATTTCTAAGCTCAGAGCAGCTAACTCTACATTTGTGGCCTCTTTTCCTGATGTCCTAGTCACTTCCTTCCCTTACGGATATAGCTGTCCTTTTAGGACTCTGTTCACTTCAAACAGAAGCTTTTTCTACTCTGATGTCCCATGTATGTCAGGGGCAGGAGATTGGATAGGTGTCCTTTTTGCTCTACTGCCACTTGCAAATAATTTCTCCCTTAGTTCTTTGAGCTCTATCATTGTCTCCCTTTTCTATCTTCCCAGAAGAGCCTTCTCCTCATTCATTGAAGACTGTAGCTTAGCCAAGAGCTCAATCAGTTTTCTTCTCTCCTATTTCAGTCATTTTAGTGATTACAGTAGCCTTGTGGATAACGAATCTAACAGTATAAACTTTCATTTTCCCAGTCTTTTTCTCCATCCCCTCAGAGGCATCTGAATGACACCCAGATTCTTATTAACACTTGAAATTCCTTCTACAAACTTGATTTTGAGCATTCCACTCTCCATTGCTGATTTCTGCCCTTTGGCCTCATTTTCTTGTTATGCATCATCTGTCTCTTGTCTTCAGGTTATTTCTCATTCAGCTTAGATTCAGAGTTCATAGTTGCTTCCTTGCGGAACTCTCAATTGCTCTGCCCTGACTACATAGTATTCCTCTCTCAAAACTCAAACGAGGTGACGCTCAGTTATCTGTCTCCCTCATACCTCTTCCCAAGCAGCTTAAACCTTCATGTTTGTAAATCTGAAGTGAATTCTCAAAACTGCTCGGCAATTTTATTATGTTTCCCATTAAGTTCATTTTCCAACTTTGAGATAATTTTACTACTTTTTCATACTTTCTATCTTGACTTTTATACTAACTTCTTCAACAACTGTTAACTTTTTATACATCATTGAGAAAATAGAAACTTATCATCTTCCTTTCTTTCCACTTAACGGATGTAGTAACTTTTTTGCTTTCAAAGGCAAATACTCATACTTGTGATCTGGGTCCCACTTCCTGTTGTCTTCTCAGGAACCTTGATTCTCCCCAAGGTTTTCATATAACTTCTCAAGCCAGACAACTGCCTATAAGTCATCCTTGATTTTTCTCTTTCTCTCTTCCACACCCTCCCCCAGTCTAATTTAATTAGTGAGTATTTCTGGTTTCTATTTCCAAGAAGAAAGTCCATGTCAGGTCATCTCCGCTTTCATCCTCACCTAGGCTAACATGTCTTGCCTGTCCTGCTTGCAGCATCCCAACTGGCCTTCATGCCCCAGTTCTTGCTCCTCTTAATCCATTCTCCAGAATTGCTCATGAATTTTTAAAAATGCACACTAAAATATGTTACTTCTTTGTTCAGGTCCTTATAATAACATCCCATCACATTTTTTTATGGTATGTTTGTTTATTTGATGGGGTATAATTTTGTTTCCAATGATTTTTTTTTTTTAAGATTTTATTTTTTTAAAGCAGTTTTAGATTCACATCAAAATTGAGAGGAAGGTAAAGACATTTCCCATATACCCCCTACCTGCACACATGCATAGCCTCCCCATTATCAACATCACCCACCAAAGTTGTCCATTGGTAACATTTGATGAACACACATTGACATCCATCATATTTTGAATAAAATTCATATTCCATACCATAGCCAAAGAGGCCTGAAATGATTTGACTCCCGACTGCTTCTCCAACTTCAGTTTGGACCCACTCACCCTTGGCTTACTGTACTTCAGACACTTTGGCTTTCTGTCCATTCCTAGAATGGCCCAGCTATTTCCTATAACAGCTCTGTGCTGGCACCTTGATGACTCAGGTCTGTATCCACTTTAGGCTTGGTTGCATCTGACCCTGAGTCTTAGAGGAATGCCCCGTGATCTTCCTGGAACACAAGGATATGGGATACTTGTAAGGAATTACCAGAGGCCGCTTCCCATTTGCCTCCCTATCTTAAGATGTGAGGCATTTTTTTGTTGTCACCCAGGTTCTAATGAAGTATGAGACTTTCCACCTCATGCCTCTTTAGGGTGTAGCTGCAGGCTATGGAATGGCTTGGATACACCATGGAGTCAGCATCTCAGCAAGAAGGTGTTCCATCCCTTATGCTGCATTATCTTCTGACCCTTTTTCTTTTTGTGTTCTCCTATAGAGCAAGACTTGTGGGGAGCTGACACCTTTGTTCATCTTTCTTTTGCTGTCTCTATAGGTGATTCACTGCCTGATCCTAACAAGGCTTGTTTCTTTACTGGCTGAGTCTTGCTTGACATTTCCCATTCAGGACTTTGGTACCTACTGTGCCCTCTGCCTGCATTGCCTTTTCCCTCAGTGAAGGTATCTCTAGCCATACTCTTGCTGCCCTGGGTATCTCCATCACAGCTTCCAGGTTTAGAATCATTAGCTGAACACACAGTGCCAATGATTTGTGATCTAGGAGTGTTTGCTGTAATTTGGGAGGTGGGAGAAGACTATAAATTCAGATGTCCAATTGGGCAGAAGAATGAGCTTGTACAATAAACAGTTTAATAGAAAGGCCTGTGAACAGCCTGGGCCCGGCAGTCTGTCTATTCTGAATTCAGGTTCAGAAGTTGGGGCTTTGGAGAGGGACGTTTTCTTCACTAATCACCAGACCTCTTGGAATAGAAATAATTTCAAAATCTTCCTCTTTGTATTTATTACCTATGAAATTTATCTGAATCCACTCTTCTTATCTCTGAGAAATGCTGTTATAATCTTATGCATATCCAAGCTTTATTCGCAAGAAAATCCTTTCTCTGCATTGTGATTTTTCTTAAAGTTTTTTTCCCATTATTTTTTAAACTAAGTTTGAAAGTCTGTGTAGATTATTTCCAGTGGTTTCCTCTTATTAATGCACCTATTTATTTCCTTCTACAATGTCAGCCTATGTTGGCCTTAAAATTATAAGTATGTTCAGGCCCTGCTTAAAAACTCAGACCATTGTAAAATGTTAAGAACTCAAACCTGTTTGGATGTTGCAGATACTGATACCAGCTCAACACAAGGTTGCAAGATTGCCAGATTGTAGAAAAGAGACCATATTGTAACTTTGAATGACCTCTGATTAACCCACCCAGCTGGATATGCACCTTCCAGTAGATATACATGCTCTGTAGATTTTATGGCCTCTTCCCGATGCGGTAAGATAACTTTGTTCTTTTGAGTTCCCTAGGAATGTGATGACCCCTGGACACAGATTCTGTGCTGATATACATGACAACTGAAAGATCTGGTGTGGAGACTCCCAGTCTGTAACACCAGAGGGTTAACATTCCTAACCCCTCCCCTAAAACCCACTGGCCTATATAACTGCTTCAAGATTCTGTGCCCCCCTTGAGATGGTTCTTTTGGGCGTTAGTCGCCCCATCTTCCACCTTGCTAGCAAGCTGTAAGAAAACCCTTTCTCTCCAATGACCTTGCCTCTTGACTATTGGCTTGACTTGCAGCAAGTGGAAGAAACCCTTTTGGCAGTAACAGTAGAATTCTGCAGAAATCCTGGTAGGTTAAGACAAAAAGTATAGAAACAACAACAAAGGTTTGGGTCACTTGTTTAATATACAAAGTCTTTCTCTCACAGATAATTAGTTCCTTTTCCTTAATTTTTCTTAGTACACATTATTCACAAAACAGTAAATTGTTAATGCAAGAGAATTAGGTAAAACCAAAAAAGTACAAATACTCAGTCTCAAAAATTGCACACAGTTAAAATAGTTTTTCCTTGTTTGTTTTAATGCAATATCCAATTTCAAAATGGGCTTTCTTCAGACATAGAGGAAACACTGCAGCCCAAAATGACAGTACTTCCTTTCAGCTGTATTGATATGTAAAATAGCACCTTTGGGCTGACTTAGGAAAGAAAAAAGGTTTTCATCTTTCTTAATTAAAGTGTAAGTCCTACACAATTATATAACCTCTGCAATAATGATAGTAAGTTTTAAGAGCTCTGCTTTGTTCCAAAATGTTCATAGGCAAGGAAAGGTAAACTATGTCAGGCGGATGGATAATTTTCCCCACCTCACCCATGACACCTGTAATCTGTTAGTGATGTCATTGCTCTAAGGAGCTAAATTTCCAGCCAAAGAATAGATGTTTTAGGGGTACCCAAGGACTCTTTGCAAAACAAGATAAATGTAACTATGAGGCCATCTCTTAGGGGCTCTAATCACAGGTAACAGCAGCTCAGGGTGAGACTGAATCCTGGGGCATTTTTCAACACTCCTTCAGTATGGACCCTTTTTCCTTTAATTTCTCCATTACTATATCCCAGGTTGATAGGATCATTTTTGTTTTGATTTTTTTTTGTTTGTGCTTAAGCTTAATTGCCTTTTGGGCTCCACTTTTTCAGTATGTACCCTTTTTCCTTTAATTTCTCCATCGCTATATCCCAGGTTGTTAGGATCATTTTTGTTTTGAGTTTTGTTTTGTTTGTGCTTAAGCTTAATTGCCTTTTGGGCTTCCCTTTTAAAAAAATACTGGAACTTCATTGCTTTACAGTTTAATCTTTGATCCTATACAATAAAAGTGACAGTTCTTTAAAAAATTAACAGCATAAATGTCTGTGGTTTATAGTATTGATAATACCAGAGACTCATGATTATAAAAAGCCAAGGTTTTTAGCAGAACTGTAAGTTCATTCTTCAGTTTCCATTGCATTTTATTTCTTACTTGAGCAGGTAAACATGCTTCAAAAATTGTCTTTTTGGAGAGCAGTTTTTGTTTTCGAAGGTTATATCCAGTTCACGAAGTGTTGTCACAAAGCCAAATCCTTTCCTTGAAAAGGCAAATGTACTATTGCCACACAGAATATAAAAAGAAAATAATCAACATTAGGTTTAAATGCACATAATTATTTCAAATTGTTTGAACCATAAACAGCTATTATAAGAAAACTTTTTAAAAGACTTAAATTCAGGAGTTCAAGGTTTAAAAGAGCTCAGAAGGACAGCAGAATTAATTGTTGACTTTTAGCCTGCTAAGAAGCTATATTATATTCTCATTTCAAGAAAGTCAAAGCCTATACAAGTTAATTTTGAGAATTAAGGTATAGTTTTAAAACACCATGTCATCGTGTATTGTTAATACAGTAATGCTTATCTTTCCTTCTCATTCTAGACATGTTTTCTTAGTGTTCAGTGTAGCTCTTAATAAAGGATGCCTTATTTTAGCCAATCATCTCCCAGTGTGAAATGAGCTCTGCACTTAGCTATCTTGCTTAGGTTTGTACAGAATTTAAACAGTATTTTTGGTGGCAATTAAGGAAAATAATCCTTTTCCTTCCAGAGCAAACAAAAGAGAAATCAGTATTTCTTTGGCTGGTGACTAGATTTTCCCCCCAGTAATGTTTGTAGACAACACATTGCCATTGATAAACAACAAGAAAAATGGGTTAGTAGAAAGCTTAGGGAAATTAACAGAAAAATTTAATCAAGATTAATCCTTGGGGGAGGTGCCATGGTTAAATCACTCAAAGCTTTGTTATCCATGAATGTCTTTATCCTAAACCTTTAAACTGGAAATATAAGAGGAAGTTAATACAAAGTCTAGTTTGTTTAAGGTTCATGTGTTTTAAACACCACTTATGTCCTTATTTGTGCAGAAATTTTGGTCCAGCTTAGTCCCCTCAACTCTGTTTTCCCTATGCGTTTACTCCGTGCCCCTACAACAAGTTTGAAGAAAGATGTTATAAACCTTTTGTTTCCTGACTTACTGAAAACCTTAACATTTTTCTCGTGTATATACAGGAATACACACACACACACACCACACACACACAAAGTTGACATTGTTTACCTTTTCTTTATTTCTAGGAATTGGGACTATTTGGACTCACTGTCAGCCACTACCAATATTCATGTCATCTTTTTTCCTTGTTAAAAGATTCTTTCTTTTTCCTTTTACCTACACTATCTGTGAAGAACAAGCACACTGATAATTACAAGTGCATCAATGTGATACCCAGATTTGTGCGATGTGATACCCCTGCTTTGGTTCTTATGGCCATCATGGTTGCCTCTTCACGGTAATAAATATGACAGCTAACAAAAATAAATCACCTTTTTAATGTAAGACATCTTTCTTTGACAGCCTACTATATCTATAATCATTAATGTAGCTCACTGCAATATCATTCACGCTTCAGTTTTACATGAATATGCAAAGAACACAATAATCAACTCAACTGTCAAACCTAAACAACTCAAGTTATTACTTATCACAGAATCTGTTGAGTATTTTTGCTTGCCTGCTGAACAGGGGAAATACCGTCAGCTTTTTAAAATTGAGTCTAAATGCTTGATCATAACTACTCATCTTTCAAGGCGACACCTCATGTGGATTAAAAAAAAGTTACATGCTTGATTTAATAAAAATGTTAAATTTTTATTTTCCCTATCATAAGTGCTTCATAGTAGCAAACAAGTTAATTTCAGAACTTTTCCACAGGTAGATTGCTTTATCTTTCTGTACTTTTGTTTTTTCACCTTTTGAGAAATTATATCTTCATTTAAGACTTCAACTAGGATATTTAATTTGATTAATTTAGCGTTTTGTAAAATCATAACATTTGTGAGACTTCAAGTAAAAGGATGTATGAAGCTGCTGTTTGGAAATGATTCGACTGTTAAATGAAGCAGATTTTAGGGCTGCACTATCCAATATGGTTAATTCAGATTGAGATATTCCATAAGGATAAAGTACATACTGGATTTTGAAGACTTGGTTCATAAAAAAAGATGTAAATTATCTCAATTTTTTATGTTGACAAATTGAAATAACTTAGATATATAATGTTAAATAAAATATATTATCAAAATTAATTCTACTTATTTACTTTTACTTTTCCTAATGGGGCTACTACAAAATTTAAAGTTTACATATGTGGCCTGCATTTGGGGCTCATGTTATATTTCTGTTGGACAGCACTGTTTAAGAGGAGCCAGATAAAATATAGACTGATAGTTGATTGCAACTTCTGTGGGTATTGACCAAAGCGAATTAAACCCAAAAAAATCTCTGAAAATCTTTTGTTCATTATTTAAACATAATTCCAAGTATTAATATCTTCAAATGTGTATTGCATCTATTTTCAAAACATGCATATGTTAAAACAACTGGACTCCACTGTAGCCATAAAAATCTCAAAGTATGAATATCAAAATATGCATCCTCCAAGTTCGCTTCTGATGTGCCCTAGGGATAATGCAAACAATTTCAAGTTTACAACCAAATGTTCGTTATTCTCAGATGAGATAGTTAACATTACGAGGCCCTAGAAGAAATACACATTGCAATTCAAGTCTGTGTTCTTGAACTTTCCCCTGCGACTGTGAAGACTCAGTGTGTCCTTTAGTCTTTTGTCATTGCCTAAAAGCGTTCCTTACTCCACTGGTTCTTAATTGTCTTGGAAATCATTCTCTAGGAAACTTGTCACATTTCCATATCACACTTTAGACTCTGCTTCGTGGGATCCTGGTCATTTGGTGTTTATTTTCTCCTTTCCTTTTTGAGCAAAGTAAGGAAATCGAGTCAGCAGGAGAAAGAGGAGAAGATAGAGTGAATAATTCAGGATCACTTCTGTCATTTGTAGTGACTGAGAGCTAGAAAGATACGCTTCAGTGAAGAACGTCCCAACTGGTTCCATCACACTGGTATAACTTCAGGGGGGCCACCCTCTGCAGATGGCAGCGAATTTGTACCCGTCTGTAACACAGGCACTACCACGGCGTCCTTGATGTCCGTGTTTACATTACACGAGAAGTTCTTCTCCAGTTTTTTGGCGGTGTCTGGGCAATTTTGCACAAAGATCACACGGTTGTAGGCCTTCAGCCTGCGCCACAACTGAACGTAGACTTTACACTGTACATACATGAAGACGAGACCTCCTGTGAAGCCAATGGCCACCACAACCAGTTTTGTCCAGAACGGCCACTCAAGGACACCTTTGAAATAAAAAAGAGAGAATGTTACCACCACGTTGTCACGAATGGATTTGGTAATTTTTTCCTATGGCTCCTTCAAAAGACCGTGCTTTCCTGCCAAATTTCAAGGATAAAGAATATATTGTAAACTAGTGGGAATTATAACCTGAATTCACTTCATTGCTTTCAAATATTCTAAAAGTACTGTTAAAATTGTCTATGAAGAAATTCTCTCACCTACAACTGTAATGATCTTATTTCTCCTCCTAGCATCAAGTGCCTACTATGATTAGCAGATACGACATTAGACTTTTGATACTTAGTGCAACATTTATTCCTTCTAGCTACAGCTGTACATACATTTAGTGATACGTGTATTTCAGTATATATGTACATGTATGGGATTGTACATACAGGTCCTCCTCCCCACCCTCATTTGCTTTAAAATTAAAAAAAAGAAGCTGCCACATCTCACCAGAGAGAGAAAGAATTTCTGAGTACAGATATCCATAAGATTTAGGATTTTAGTCATTTGTTTCATTAATCTTATATTTTGTCACTGAGAACCATCACTTTCTTAGATGTCAATATTTTCTCTTAATTTCCATCACCATAACTAGAAATTGGCTTTCTTTCACAAATAGTTTTTAAAATTTTCACAAGAGTTTCTGTAACTGCAACAGTATTTATGCCACACATAATTATGAATGTTTAATATATGATGGTCAAGAGTCCACCTCTTGCTGACCTGAAGTTGGTGGGGGGGAACAGTAGCTGCCTTCACTCATATGAAAGGCTGTAAAATAACAGAGATAGCTCAGTATGGTGGACCAGGAAGGGTTGGTTAGAAACCACCGTATGAGTGTCTGATTCTCCTTTGAGTTTTATTTACTTTTACTTATAACACTGAATAGAGTTCTAAGAAATATCCTAACCGTATTTTGTAATAGTGACATTTGCTTTATTCTTCTGGAAGCAAAGCAGACACTAAATGCTGAAATGGGGCCAAATGGATTTTTCAAGAATGTTTTCATTGGTAAGATGTGTCTACCTCCTTTTACTGAGACCTAGCAAACTGTCTTCCTACTCTGTTTTGTTGGACTGGTCAGTTCTCGCTTCTGTAAAGAAGAAAGAATGTACACAATGTGGGGGCTGGGGGTGTGGTAAAGAAGGGAAGGCACAAAATTTTGCTCCTTGAGGATCCTTTATGTAACCCAAGGAATTCTTTCTTCTCACTAATATACCTTTGAAGCTGGAGCCTGCACTTGGAAATGCCAATAGCACAAAGTTATCTCTGCTTGCCAGTTCGGGAGAGGAATTTGGAAAATCTGACTTCAGGCAATTCAACCATCTGTTCATTCCTCTGAAGCTCAAGGATCTCTCTACTTCTGCCTTTGTGCTTTGAATCTTTCTTGAGCAGTTTCTGTAGGTGTAGGAATAAACTCTGCCCATCCCTACCTCCTAAGCATTAATGGGAAATACTGCTTGGAAATTCTTGGGCAGGAATTGGAGGTGTAGATATTCTGTCCACTACCATTTTCTAAGAAAATGGGAATATTCTGTTGTCCTTCATAATAGATAAATTTAACTGATTCATTCACTTTCTATATCGTCATGCCAATCCCATAAGAATGGGCAATAAATTCTCAAGCAGTCTCAATATAGGATTATTAAAATAAATTCTTTCAGGCCTCCTTTCTATAATTGCATGCATGTGATTTGGTACTTGAGCGCTACAGTATCTTCCATGCCATCCCAAAGCAATCAACATGCTAATAGGTTCTCCAGGAAAGGCTGAAGACAGTATGTAGATTTGTCATGCGGTATGATATTGAAGACTTCACAAATTAGAGATAGATGAATGAAAATGCTACACTACATCTGCCTGAAAGTGGTGCCACTAGAACCACAAAAAACAGTCCACAATCTGTATGGGAATTTAGAGAGTGGATGAAAGCACTTTAGACAAAAAAAAGAAGATGGAGCTTTTGGCTCATCCTAGGCTCTTGGGAGTCTGAATTTGGTAAGATTTTTCTAGCAAGCCAATGAGGGAAACGGGTGACTAGGTAAAAGTAACTATTTATAGAATTTGAATGAAAAGGTAAAAATGAAAGAGTAAAATTTGCAAATTATTTTTTCACATAAAAATATCTCCCATGTCGTCTTCACCCCTTTATTGGAATTGGGTCAAGAGGGAGAGTTTGGGGTTATCTAAGGGCATTTTCCTCTCAGAACCTCAGACTAGAGTTAATCCATAAACAGGACCGCTGCAGCCAACTGTCTCTTTCATCTCCTTTCAGCCACTATCTCCTCATCTTCAATCCCAGAAACCCCTTCCTTCCTGCCTAAGGAAACTCCCACATCCCAAAATATTCAGACTTTTATTCAATTTCTTTGCAGTCCAAACCCTACTAGGATTTCCCTTACTATGGTTAATGGCTGCTCAAGGGATGTTCCCCTGTGCAAAATCTCCACTCATTCTTGAGGGTTATGGGTTTTATTCCTAAGAATCAGCTACTTCACTCTTGACATCTTTATCCATCCTAATTCAGGCAGCTATATCGGTTCTTTGAGGTGTTGGGCCTGTTATCTGGTATTCTCTCTGCTCTCAGTTTTCTCATCTCTGGTAGCTTGTTGTAATAATGGCCCCCAATTGGCTTATGCCTCCCCGTAACCATGTCCTCGGGTGTCCCCTCCCTTATTGATGGTGGCCTTGGCCACAGGACTTGCTCTGGCCAATAGGACAACAGAAAATATGACAGCAGAAACGTCAACAGTGTTCACATATTGTGGTTTGCATCTCTTGCTGCTCTTGCAACCGCCGTGTGAAGAAGCAGGGTGTACAGACTAGATGCTGAAAGACACAGAGCTCAGTTGCTCCTGCCATCTGGCCATAGCATGCCCACTGCCAGACGTGTAAAGGAGGCCATTGTTGATTGTATAGCAGCCAGCTGATATGCTGAGTGAACCCTGCAGAAACTAGCCAGTTTGGCCCAGACCAGAAGAAATGCCCAACTGACCTACAGAAGTGGGAGTGAAATAAACGGTTGCAGTTTTAAGTCACTAAGTTTTGGGATGGTTTGTTACACAGCAAAAGGCAAGTGGTACATCACTTAAAAATGGAGGTATTGATAATAGCTGCCTCATAGGGTTGTTAGGGTGGAGTAAATGAATACTTGTTGACACAGAGAAAGTGCTATAAATATTAAGTAGTTGTTATCTGAGTGATTTAAATGCTACACATCTTTGGCTGATTGCTTTGTAGTTTAAGAGCAAAGCTTTCACTGGTGCTGACAACTAAGACCTTTCTAACATCATTAGACTTCAACCTTTGGATGACCCACATGGACCCTGAGTAATGAAAACCTCCAGAACCCAGGAGAGGAGAAGGGCCAGTTAGCTGCCAGCCAGGTCACCAGCATTTAGTGCAATCACCAGCACTACACAGCCTCACCCTGTGTGAGCACCTCTTGCACTTGTAATTCCCATCATGGGGAAAGGCTGAGAAATCTCCCCAAAAATTAAGTAAGAGGTCCTGAAATGCTGGAGTGGTAACTGTGTGGATTGTACCTTTCAGGAAATATTTCTGCCAAACTTTCAGACCACCACGACAGTGGCTTGTAAGCTGGGATATATCCACTGGCCCCTTTTGGACTGTGACTCTCCGGCAATACTGTTTCTCTGAAATGTATTTCCTTGGTAATAGAATAGGGTCCCCATCCCTCTCCCCTGGGGGCACAGATGGCGGTCACCTGTAACATCCTGCTTCACTGTTTCTAAGTCGAATTGGGTAAACCACAAGATTCCCGGTGGGTGTTTGTAACATAGTTGTAGATCAAGCAAATTGCTTATTTCCTTATCTTTAAAACAGTGGTGTCTGAGGTCTCTTCCAGCTTCTAAATTCAAATTCTCAGAGTATTCTGCATATCTTATCTGGCAGATCATGTGACTGGAGACACCTGGGTTGTGTCTAAAGAGCTTTTTAAAATCCCCAAAAGCAGAAGAGAACCTGCCTCATTTAACAGCTGCAGCAACAATGTATATTTAGAAAAAGCATCTCAATGCTAAGCTGGGATATTTTTGGCTGGGTGCTTAGGTTATGCAGTGTCACAAAATGTGTTTGTTAAGGGCATGTGTGAGGGGTGGCACTGGGGAGGTGGTTTTCTCCTTTACTTTCATCCTAGTTACTTTTGGATAAATTATTTTTTTAAAAAAGCTTGTTCACATATTTATAACCTTTGCCCTAACTTGTTTTAATGCTAATATTCACTGTGAGTAAACAATGTATGATAATATGTGCAGTATTTGTATAAACACAATGTTTCAATTTGTCTGATGCAAGGTCAAGTTCACGGTGTCTTTGAAAAATGAATCACAGAAAGAACCTTTGGAGAGTATTCAGTCCAACTTAGTTTTACAAATAGGAAATTGAACTTCAGAGTGATTATTTTATTTGCAATAACTAGCCAATGACCAGGAACTAGAACTAGGCAGAACTAGAACCCTGGCCTTCTGATAACTAGCCCAAGTAGTGTTTATCATATTTGAGTTGTTAACAATAACAGCACATGAAATTACTTTCAAACAGAATGTTTAAATAACACTGCTGAAAAGGAAAATATTATATAGATTGCAGGGCAGTATTTTTTTTTTTTTTGCTGAAGAAGATTCGCCCTGAGCTAACATCTATGCTAATCTTCCTCTATTGTATATGTGGGTCACCAAACAAAGTCAATTTGTCATTCTAGTCACTTGTGATGTATACATTTAAACAGTTCTGGGGCAACGTTAAAATCTGCATCTACAGTCTCTTTAATAGATAGTGTAAATTGTTGTGTTTTCTCGGTCTATATTTTTGTGTTTTGTTTTCAACAAACAAAGAGCATACTGGAGCATTCTTCTAGAATATGTAAAGATAAGGCAGGAAGAGCAATTGTTGCCAAATTAGAGTTGGCATCATGGGTGATTTACGGCGTTAAAGTTTCAAGTACCATGTATTTGACATTTTTTTCTTTGTGTCATCATAGGCTTGAGAGGAAGAGAGTGAGGTAAGAGAGCTATCTGGGACATCATGCGTATTTAATCTAAAGGAACAACCATTTAAAAACATATGAAGTCTCCTTCCCGTACTGTTATTACAGTTCAAAAGATTTTGCTGTTTTATATTCAACCTCAATTCTAGTTGAAGAAGGACAATTTGTTCCTCTTCAAATATTTTTGAAGGTTTTGAAGATGGATGTAAAATGTTTGACTTTAAAATTATGCAGTTTTTTCAACAACTTTTAAAGTAAATTCAGGATCAGCACTCAGTCTCAATGCCAAAGGAAGATTAAAATAATAACAACTCCTACAGATGCCCACACTACCTGTAGATGTGTACTTTGGCAAGTCAGATTTCAAATACAATTTGAACATAAGTAGAGACGATACCCTTTACAAGCCACTGTGGCTTCCATTTGAAATGAACTGAGTTAGGAGCTGTCCCTTTGGCAAGTGGCTCTGCAGAGAGCACCTCGGGCACTGCTTCTTGATAAATAGCCTGCTTCCTAATTCAAAAGCTCTGAACACCAATGATAAAAGTTATTTCATTTTCACTGGCCTTTAAGAAAAGGAAAATAATTTTTAGAAAGTATATGGTAGAAAGCTGACCCTTGACTATATACATATTTTAGGAAGAAATATATAGATGTCACGCACTATATAAGTGTCAGGAGCTGAATATGGAGGTCCTGCCTAGTGTGATATATATAGTGGGAAGCCGACCTTTGATTATCTTGCCCTTCTGTTGGAAAATCTGACTGAGGGACCTGAGTGACAGTCCACTGGGAGACTGCGGTCTGAAATCCTGCATCTACCCAGAACTGAGAAAGGAAAAAAATCTTTTGAAGAAAAATGCAGAAAATGAGATACAAGGTGGAAAAGTTTGGGTACGAGGCATTCACACTTCATCATTCCTTCTACAACATTGACTAGGCCAGCTGCCAGGTCCCAGACACAGTGTTCAGCACCAGGGACGTGCTGGTGAGCAAGACCGACATGGCCCGGCCTGCTCTGAGCTCAGAGGCTATTGGCGAGGGGAGACAGACAATTAATCGAGCAATTGTGATAACGTGTGGTAAGTCTCATGGTAGCGCAGAGCTTTTCAACATGACTACACGATAGAATCCTGTAAGGGATAATGAAATCTAAATCTCTGGGGATAAAACTCAGGCTTTGTAGTAGCATAGAAACTCCACTGTCAGGGGTACATGCAGGATGCTATGGGAGCACATGGTCCCCAACACTGAGAGGGCATCAGAGTCACCTGTAGGCTTCTTAAGCACAAATTGCTTGGCTCCACCCTCAGCATTTCTGATTACTAGGTCGAGAGTTGGGAGAGGTCAAGAATTTGCATCTCTAACAAGTGTCCAGGTGATGCTACTGCTGGTCCAGGGACCACATTCGAGAACAACTGTAGTAGCAATAATTATCCTAATTCAGGGAGCTTAACTAGGTTTCCCAGAGGGAGTGATGTTTCAGGTAAACTGCAAAGGCTGAGTAGGGGTTAGGGAGGTATGTGAGATTACGCGAGTGTTTAAGTGAGTGTGTGGTGGACAAGAGAAGCTGGGAGGAAATGTTTCACATAGAGAAAAAAGCTGAGAAGTAGATTTCGGGGGCTGAACAATGTTCAGCGTAATTGGCTACAGCAAGGTCACAGCGGGTTGCACTGTCCCTTTACAGACTTTAGGGTGTATTTTAAGAGTAATGGCTAAGTGGGGATAGGACATGATCATATTCGTGTCTTTGTAAATTTGCTGTAATTACATTATTGAGTATGGGTTGAAGGTGGGCAGAACTGGAGAAAGTCTAGTTAAGAAGCTGTTGCAGTTTTCAAGTAAAAGATATGATAGTTTGCACATGGATGGTGTCAGTGGGGAAAGAGAGAAACGGACAGATTCCAGAGGCATATGAGACAGAACAAATAGGATTTGGCAATTAAGGTGGAAGTGACGGAGTGGGAGGAGATCAGGAATTAAAGGTGATGTCTGGGTTGGTTCCTGGTTGTTAGTAATGCCTTTCCCACAGGTGTTAGAGTAGGAAGTGGTAGTAAATTCTGAGCTTGGACACATTGAGTTTAGGTTGCCTGGAAAAGCTTTAAATGGAGAAGTTCAGAAGGCAGGCAGACACATGAGTTGGAATGCAGTATGAGCTGGAGATAAATTTAGGGAGTTAGCATAGAAATGACAACTGAAGACATAAGAATATCCAAGGAGACTAGAGAATGAGCAGGGAGAATAAGAGATAAATGGAAGGATGGAAGTATTGGGCCATGGATTCCATGGGTTCTGGAGAGACTGGTGGCTGAAGTTGAGACAGTCATGTTCATTGTAGAATAAATGATCACTGTTGACTCAGATGTTTCAAAAGCGAGCGAGAAAAATGAATATGAGTTGTTCTGGCCTGTCTGCATTTGGAGGATATGAGATTGCTGCTTCTTGTTCTGTCTAGAAGAGGTGCCCTTAATCTTCCCCTCACACGTGGCCAGAGAACGAGAACCCTGCAGTCTAGCACAGCTGGGCCAAGTCAGGGTGGCCACTGGGAGAGGGCGAGGCTGCATTGGGACGAATTTATGATTCTCAAATACTGAACTCTAGGTTAGTCATCTGAAAATATTGTCTCTACCTATCAGGTCTGCCCTTAATTGCTAGGAAAAGACTTGAGTCCTAAGGTCTTAGGTTGGGTGTAGTAAGGTGGGGATGTGGGGGGTGCCTCTGTTTTTCCATGCATACATGATTGCAGAGTTTATGGCCCACTTTCTGTTACTTGGCTTGGGCTAGTACCTATATCTATAGGGGACATAGATTAAAAAAAAAAAGTTCCTATCCTCAAGGAACTTATTTAATAGGAATGTAATACACGTTTCTTAATCCAGCATCTCAAGAACAAGGCATAATGTAGTTGTAAACAATGTGGTTTGACAAATTTTTTATAGATGAGTTAACATTGAACCAAAAAACTATCAAAGCCCCTCCCTACCTGATTTTCTATAACGGCAGCGCTTTCATTCTTTCAGAAAAGGGCAGGGGGATCCGCAACTCTGTCACCATCTCTCCTCCCCACCTTCCACTTGAACTACATAATCCATGGCCACAGTGCATCTGGCGAGTCCTCACAAGTGCCTTTTATGCGCTCAGTCCTCAGTCCCGTTCTGCTTCCAGAACGCCCAGGCGAGCACATGCGGGGCTCACTGCTGCCACCACGAGGGCGAGCGTGAGAATGGAAGAGCCTTCCCTTCTGTTTTCACGAACGCCGGCAAAGAAATACGGAACTAACAGACCCTTCCCTTTGAAAGTCTTTACCTTCTTTCCCTCACTTCCTCTCACCTTTTTCTTTCTTTCATTTTCTTCTGTTTTTGAGGGGGCACATAAACATTTTTCATAACTGCAAATTTACAACGTTATCCTCTGAACAATTTTTCCTTTCAAATTTTCCAGTGATTTAATTATTATTATTATTTTTTTTACAGGGGAGAGGAGTGGTTAGGGGATTATTTCTCACTGTTCTGCCAGTTGTATGCTAAAGCTGGTAGAGCTCAATGATAAACAGGCTGGGTACCTTCAGCAGTTAAGCTAAACGATATTTTATAGCCATTGGGCTTCCTATTTTTGTTTGTGTTTTAAACGACCTATCCATTTTAAATGTTAGAATATACTTTAATGAGTTTAAACATCTTTCTTTGTAGACTTCACACCATCCTTTACAATCCAACGTAGCATGGCTAAAATTTCAAACCATAGTGTTAACGTTAATCCACTCTATCAAATTATGCAGTACTGACTAGTAAACTATAGCACATTCTTTAATAGGGTGTCACTTACTCATGTTTTAAAAGAAGCAATGATTAGAGTGAATTAAATAAAGTGAAAAACCTTCCATTTTTACAACTGTTTGCCTTTTCACATCAGGCAGAACCTGTGATCCTTATTTAGTTCCTGAAAAGCTTGAAAAGTGCTGTGTGACATCTATCTACTCCTCTCTACTAAGGTTCACATGGACTTGACAAATCTCACATCTCAGCTTAGAATCCCCTTTGGTCAATGCTTGATAGCCACAGTATTAATCAGTAACATAATTGGGAGGACTCAGCTGCCAATACTGGTTTTTGCTAGTGTATCAAACATAGAGACCTAAACTGGGAAACAACTTCCCAACTCACTGCTGGATATCGTCATAGAATTCAAAAAAGAAAAAAAGATGTGCTCTTACCATTGTCATTGCCTTGCTTTATTTCCTCCGCGGTCCGATCTATTAATACATACAAGGACCAAACCACACAAGTGATGGCGATTACGTGGAATGTGACGGAGCAGAATATTTTCCTCCTTTCGCTCGTGGTCATCTGTAGTTTCTCCCACTGCAATCATAAATGAATCACACAAAACTGAGTTTCTAGCCAGGAAATTTCACTCCCCTTTTATATCCCAAACAGATCACGAATGAAAGGGAAACATCAAACATTTGCAATTTCAGATGACACTATTATATTCAAAGAAGTCATGTTCGGGAAGATATGAAATTCAAACCTGCAGAGTTATATAACAAATCTATGTTAAAATGAAAACAATAATTTCCTCTAAATGGATTAAATCAAGTCATTTATGTGTTGCCAACCTGTGGTTTCCTCATCTGTAACATGAATGAGAGAGTTTTAATACTGTACAATTTTTTGAAGATACTTCCTTTCAGGTTTCTGTGTATCACTTCTTAGTGGTACTAGGTTATAAGCAGCAACAAGTAATCTCTTCTTAGATTAATAGATAACCTGACATAGTGTTGTATTCTCGAATGTATGCATTTAACAAGTATTTGAATGGCTGAATGACAGCTATGAGAGAAAATCAACATCTGCTCACAACTGATCTCCTAGAAAACACATTTTACCCTGTGGGCCATGGGAGAAAATTGGCAGAAGCTCCTATTAGAGCAGTCTTGATTTGCTGCTGCCACTGCAGTCATAATCATTGTCCCTTAGTCACACTCCTCAGAAAGTTGAGGGCTGTTCCCTCATTCTGGGAGAGGAATAGGACCACAATTTTTATAGTTGTAAGCTAAGGTTTGTATGCGGGAAAGTGTCCGTTATTTACTTTGAAGAAATAGACTCTCAAAGGATATTTGAATGCCTTGAAAGCTCGAGTATCACTTCATTTCTGTGTTAGGAATTGTGTCTATTTTTCTTTGTATTATTTTGATAGGAGAATCAAATCACTGTAATCTTCTGCGAGGTGAATTGATGTACCAAGGTTTCCATAATCCATGATCCTTTACATTCTTTACACTATTATGCTTTTGCTAAAGCAAAATCTTTAGAACTTCAGAAGACCCCACTCCTTCCCCACCCCACCCCCACACATATAATTCCACACACAATTCAGTGGAGAACAAGAGGGCACACATTATGTTACATAAAGTCCTGGCTCTGGCACAGGCTTTGAGACATGGGTGAAGTCGCTTAACCTCTCTGTGCCCAGTTGCCTCATCGTCATAAGAGCAGATTGTGGCAGAGGTTGTAACAAAGAGGTTTGGGAAGAGGACGCCATTCTTCTCTTCTTCCTTTACTAGCAGACTAATTCTATGAAGCCGGGCATTGCGCCCAGCAAAAAGCTCTCTTCCAACCTTCCTTCACAGAGGGGGACACTGCCTGTTTTCCACCAATGAGATGTGAGCGGCTATCTACTGGGATACCGAATTTTTGCCTTCCTGACGCAGGAATTGCCCCTTCTTTCTCTCCTTCATTTTCTCTTCTTTGCTACCTGGAATTCATAATTAATGGTAAGAGTGCCAACAGTCATCTTGCAACCTCAAAGAAAGTCTCGAGACTTGGAGAGACCTGAGCCCAGTCAGCATCAGCTCACCTCCTATAGGGGAGGAACATAGAGCCCCGTCTAATTAAGCCATTATTTCTCAGGATTCTGCTACTTGCTGTCAGATGTACTTCCTGATGAAAGAACCAAAGAGATACTTCCTAACTTCCCTTCCCATCTGCCAATTAGCATCCTATAATTTCCTCTGTAGGAGAACACAATACTTAAAGCCTGACCTTGATGCTCAAGAAAGCTTCTTAAACATTTTTGAGAAAAAGACGTTTTATTTACAAACACCATCCATTCCTGTTCTCTTCCTGGCCAGTCAGCACATGGTTTTCCTTATAGGGGTCTGTTAGAGTGAATTAACAATTCGTACTTCATCCTGTACTTTCTTTTTCATCAAACTATATTTTATATATTGTTCCAAGTACATAATGGAGAAATCTTAGTAATGCAGGCTGGGGGAAAAACAGTTGCTTCAACTTAGACTCTATTTTTAAGTACTCAATATTGAATTGCGAAGATTTGAATTGAATTTGGCATGTGTATCTTGGCTTTTATCAACACTTCACAGCATATCTGTGAAAAACTGATTTTTAAAATTTCATTTTGTTATTGATTTATTGTAACGTTAATGTGAATAGCCTGTATAATTATAGAATAGAATATTATCATTTGGCAACTGTATTTTATGATTTAATAAATATTTCTTGAATTACCTCAATCTTCATATGACCAAATAAAAAGTACAAGATAGTGCAGAAAAGCAGCTTTACAAAATGTTCAAATCTCCTAAATGTTCTAAGTGGATGAGAATATCTTCAGCAACAAAATATTCATACCAAATCAACCCTCAAATATAAAATCCGCTTTTAAAAAAACCGTTAAAAATGGGGACGTCTTAAATCTAAGGAGCAGTTTGATGAAATGGCTGGAATATATTCTTCAAAATTAATGAGGCTCAAGTAGAAAAATATCAGTGGGACTGACAGAGATGCACCAAATCATTTGTCAAGACTCCTTCTGTTCCAGACAATAGAAGCTCTGAGGTTTTTGCTTCCTAACCTCAGTAGCATTTTAAGGAGAAGTGTAAAGGGACCATTAAAGCTTCCCACTCTGCTTATAGAGACCGTTCAGAAATTCACTAGCCTGCGCACAAGTAAATGTAATGCCACAGCGCCCTCTTCCGAATGATCACATTACTGCATACCATATTCAACACAAGGTACCAGCAGAAATCAACGTCTTATAAAATGTTCGTTATACCCTGTATATTCAGGTTTATATACAAAGTTTGAATAAGTTTTGCAAGGCTTCACAGTGGGGAATGAATTGAGAAAGCAAGGATAGAAATCTTCTTTTAACAAAGCTGTCATGAAAAGGCCTTAATTTAATATCCAGAATGCTGAAATTCAGTACCAGTTCACAAAAGATTTTGGAATAGGAAACTGATAATTTGCCCAAATACACACAGCATCTGTGCTTCCCTGCCCAGTTTTATAAACAATGTTGTGGGTTATGCCCACATGACCACGTGTACACAGTTTACCACTGTGACGCCTCCAGAGGGGGATGTTAGGGAGGAGAGCCCCCCTGGGTGCTCAGAGTGGTCCCCTGCTCAGCAGCAACAGTGGCACTTGTTAGAGATGCAAATTATCACGCTCCACTTTTGAGATGACTCTGTTGGCTTTGCCCACAGGGCACACAGAAAATCTGGACTCCGCTCCATCACTGAGGAAGCGCAGCTCTCTGCCAGGGGAGCAGCCTGACTTGTGCCTCGCCACCTGCAGGGCCGCAGGGCCACTGCCTTTCTCTTTAGATTATTCAGGCCTGAGTCAAATGTCCATGTGAAAGCGACACAAGTGGTCTCAATGAAGCTGGTGGAAATGATAAGACAGCGATTCTCTTTCCCTTCCCCAAGGGGCAGGGGAAAGATACACCGCAGTGCACCACCAGGCTTTTGACAACTTTTTTTTTTTTTTTTTTTGAGGAAGATTAGCCCTGAGCTAACATCCATGCCCATCTTCCTCTACTTTATATGTGGGACGCCTACCACAGCATGGCTTGCGAAGCGGTGCCATGTCCGCACCCCAGATCCGGACCAGCGAACCCCGGGCGGCCAAAGCAGAATGTGTGCACTTAACCGCTGCACCACCCGGCTGGCCCCTCAGTCATCAACTCTTTACACTGCCAACTCTCCCATCTCCCCCCATCGGTCTTCAAGTTCACTTTCACATCTTCAAACTGGGGGATGAGCTAAGGTGGGCAAAACCAGTTTCACAAAATCTGAGCACCTCCTCATAGGTGGTCTTGGACCTCGCTTTACTTTTCTACAATCTCTGGGTCTTTGATATCTGTTTTACTGTTCCTGGCCTTTGGTCCCTTGTTGAAACTGAAAGAACTGAACTCTGTTACTCAGAAATATACGACTAGAATTTTTCTGGAAAGACTTCCAAATTGGAGTTTAAATTGATGAAAATATTGTTTCTGCAAAATTTTCCATTTGCTGTAGCTAAATCAAATTGTGTAGGTTTTCTAATTTGAATTACTTGTCCTGTATTCATATTCTGTCCTAAAATATGAATTCAAAAATGCTGCCTAATAAGAATGCTTTGTACCAGTGAAGAATAAAGGCAGTTTATTTGTGCAATATCAAAATACACGAGGTAGGGACTGCTTTACTAAATCCATTTCCTTTTCTTCCTTGACACGGTCCCGCTACATTTTCCAACTCTCTAACAGCCATAGGAACCAGAACTATGAGCAAATCTATATAGTGATAAAGCAAACAACCGCCACCAGGTGGCGCCAGGCCCAAACAGCAGCTAGTACCAACAGCGTTTTTCGGATACAACCGGACAACACCCCAGAGCTCCCAGCCAGCCAGCTGCACAGGCTTTTTCTGTTATTTCGTCAACGCAGCATAAATGCAAAACCACATTTTAGCTGTTTAAAACGTTCTGATCCTGGTAGCGGGGTTTTACCACATATGAGTGAAAATGATACCTGGAAACAGCAAATTCAAAGTTTATTGTGTTAGCTACAAGTGTAAGATACGTTGTGCCAGAAGATAGTATGTAAACCTTGCAAACGTTGTGGGGCTTTAGAGTATTCGTGGTGTTTCTAGAGGGCTCGTTGATCTGGGACAGTGTCTCTGAACGTTACCCCAGGGGCATCAGCATCACCTTGGGACTTGTTGGTGTTTAATTAAAGAAGGAGGCCATTAGGCTGAGGTGGCTCCACGTCATGCAACCCATGTAAGCAAAGCCAAGTCTAAGCCCGTAAATGTCTCAAGGTTATGAAGTCAAAATGCTAAGGACAACCATTCGCAAGGAACCAACTAAGCTTTAAGCAATACCCATCAAATGAGTCCCTTGCTTTGCTTCTGCGCTTTCTCTCTGTGTCTTTCCCCTGGTTCCTGTGGGTGGAGCACTCCTAACCACTTCCGGTTTGGCGCAGCCTGAATGGAATGGATTTTTGCTCAAATAAACTCTTAAAAATGTTATTGTGATTCAGTTTATCTTCTAACATTAGAAATGAAATATTTTGG